TGTGAATAAGGTGCACAGTGCAACAACAATGTGTAGGCAATTCTTGCATTATTGGAACTGATGCGTTATGCTGGTTTTAACTGAATGCTAAGATGTTTACAAAAGTCTTAAGATGCATTGGATTGATACTGGGTTGATATTTGGGGCATCAGTAAAGAAAGAAAAAAGAAAAAAAAATCCCCATTCATGAATCTTGCCTGCTGAATAACTGAAAGCTCAAATGTGAGAGTTGTTTCTGGAATTGTAAAATAAACAGTTTAGTAAAGATCTAGACTTGCAGACCTAAGTTCTTGGATCTATTCTATGCACGCCTTCATGAGTAGCAACATCATGCTTCAGAATTAATGTCTTTTTAAACACCTTGCAATCTCAGAAGTCCAATCTGTGCCATATTGAGCTGCACAAAGTGGTTCTAAAGTTCCTTCAGATTTTCACCACCTAGTTCTGTGCACAGAAGGACCTTGCAGGAGCTGTGTTGAACAGCTTCCCTACCTCTACGTACCCTACCAATCTGGGAAAAATCAGTTGGATCTTTGAAAAGACCTCGCTTGGTTTCCTAGAATGACACTTTGGCCAAAACTCCCCAAAGGGCTCGAAAATCACTAGAGGAAAATCTATTAGAAAGCTTCTCTCCATCCATTTAGATAATCCTGGTATTTTGCTGCTGCTGCACCTGTTATCGTTGCTTTAGGATGAGAATTTACAGAATGTGTGACTGCACCTTGAATATTTTATTAGTAACACTCCTGAGCTGGATTTAATAAATGGGTATGCAAACATTTTTGGTTTATACCTATGTAGGCAAAATAGAGGCCATTTTAAAAATTATGCCCCAAATGTTATGGAATAATTAGAGTATTTCCTACAGTTCTGTGAGGAACCAGCAAATGTGGCTTGTTGCATATTGATGTTGCTTAACAACTCTCTGATCGAATACTAGCACACTTGGGTCAGTTTGATACCCAGATAACAAAAGGATAGGTGGCTTGTTATGACTGGACCTTATTAATCTCATGATGCACCCACAATAAAGAACAGCACAACTCTTCATGCAGGTCCAGTTTATTACTTTTTGAGTCATATATTAAATTGGAACTGAAGAGAATTTGGCAGTAACCAGCCAGATTAGTTTGTTATACAAGAAACAAATGCTAATGGCACTAGTACTAAGGGTTTGTAAGGAAAAGCCAACCCTGGGGTGTCTGACATAGTTTAATCATTTCTTAAGATTGAAGTGACTAAGAACTTGACTTCAGTCTACCAAGTGAAATATAGGCCGTGATTTATTGCTTCGTGGAAGCCTTGGGCATCATGCTGGGACAGTGGTTCCCATAATTTTTGCACCAATGGGGCACTTTTTACTCTCTGACTTTTTCATGGAGCAATGTGTGTATTTTTTGCTGAGTTTTTAATTAAAAACATTTAAAGGAGATATGGTTCTGGAGACCATTAGCTTTGAGTTTGTCAACCATCAGAGACCTATAAACCAGAGTGTGGAAAGCAGTGTGCTAAGGAAATAATTTAATATAGCTGAGCAGCTATATTTAATAAGCTGCAGGAACTTCTTTGTCTCCCTGTTTCGTTTCTTGAAGATGTAATTATTAAATTTTTCCATCCCAGTGCCGATTTTTCTTTTAACTGTGACACACAAGTGTTCTACAGTTATCTTAAACTCTAAAGCATCAAAATGTACATTAAAAAGCTTTTTACTATTTTGTAAATATTTGCCTTTTGCCTTTGATCAAATATAATGACCTATTATAATCCCTTGGGAAAACAGAAATCTGAGTATCAATCAATTATGATGTTATTAATTAAGACTATGTTTCCTCCTTGAGCTTTCTATATTGGTAGAAACCATTAGTACAACTTACACAGCCTAGAAAAGCAAAAGCAATAGACTGCTTTTTGCTTTTGAGGAGTAGATGAGCTCAGGCACCTTTCTTTCCTTAGAAAATGCATTTTTATATGTTTGTGTTTTACTGAAATTATGTCAGGATGTATATTTACACATGTTATATATACATGCATTCATATATTTACATATATACATATATATATATTTCTTTACGAATAAGCAGTAAACTTGTAATACTACTAATGATCTGATTTACAATTTACTTATATGTTTGACATTGAGTAAACCACAATAGATATATGGGAAAAGTAAAAACCTACCAGCCAAACAAAAAAAAAACAAAAAAAAACCCCAAAAAAACCAAACATTCTCCTCCAGTCTTAAGGACTTTATATATATGGGAAGAGGGACTGCAGCGAACCTCTGTATGTAGAGGGAACTGTGGGAAATTTAATACAATTTTATGCTTGTGATTTAAAAACAAAACATCACCTGGAAGTGTGCTGGTGAGTTCATTCTATGGCCAAGAAAAGTAGGAAAGTGTCAGGTATTTTAGATCATGACAGAAGAACAAGACCATTAAAGCTTATTAAAAGGACAAAATGATATTGAGGCATCAGCCAAATCAGTTGTGTTTAGAGAAGTAGGATTTTACTGTTAATACACCAGATGGAATGCTGCATTATAAATGCCTTTTTTTTTAATGTTCTGAGTTAACGTTATAGATGTTTAAAGCTATTGTAAAGAGGTTTTCATTTCAACATTTGCAAAACAGCAAATCTGCCATATGGCAAAGTGTGTTTTTGATGCTGTTTGGAACCAAGTGTCGCTCTGAGCTAGTCATGTAAGTGTAATTAATTGTCTAATTTTGTAAATATAGTGTTCTCTTTTCTATTATCTGTGCACAGTATAGATGAGTTAGTTTTGCACTCCCTTGTGTCTATTTTTCCTTAAAGGGTGACTTTTGTTAGCAATAGTTTTCTTCTTGCATTCCCCTTGCTTTGAGGGAGTGGGGATGAGGAGGAGGTGGCAAATGTTCCTAGACAGTCACTGAAGTTCACACATCACTTAAATGACTGAGGATGTTGGCGTGCCTGTTTACATGACAGTAAAATGTGTAGGAGCAGACTGATTTCACACTGTGGTGTATCTAGAGGCAGTTCTCTCGAGGATGGGAGAAAGGAGGCAGTGCCACATGTGCAGAGCAGATGAAGCCGGGAGAGCCTCATCTGTGTTACACTCTCACAGCGTCTTTCCTAGCCGCTGTGTTTAAAACAGAAAATTCAAATGCCAGTGCTCTCACACCAAGATAATACTCAGGTGGGGGAAGTGCCTCTCTTCTGCTTTAGAAATACTTCTGCAGGGGCCGCTACGATTTACCCTATGCATTAGGCTAAGTCATCCTGTTAAGTCATTTTATTTGTTGTGTTTCTATCCCACCACTCAAAATTGTGTAGTTTTAGTTGTAGATGTATTGTGTCTTTTTTGTATTTAAGCCCTTAGTATATTGTGTTCTTCCACTGAAAGCTTCTCAGTCTTAAGGACTAGAAGTTATATTTTCCTACCTGAATGTAATGGAGGAACCTGTTTCCATCATGGGACTGCAGGAGCAGGGAAATAAAAAGACAGTCTAATCTCTGCCTTTCCATTCTCTTGCACCCAGCCTTTCATTCACTTCAAGTCACTACCGATAAAGTCTTTCAAGTCATGCACTAAAACTGTGTAGGAATGACTAATCTTCTAACTTTGGAGTACTCTTCTGTAGACCCTTGTTAATGAAACTATAATTTTTACCATGTTAAGGTGATGTTCTACGCACTGTGCTGATAGGAGGAATTAATGTTTTGCAAAGATCTGCTAAACTCCTAAGAGATTCTCCATGTGCAATCTCATTTACTTCTCTAATACTGGGAACTTTTTTCCACCTATGATAATTTCTGCAGCAGGATCTGTATTCATAGACACATGATGAATCTTTTTGCTATGTTAATATAAATGATAAAAAAATAAGCAGTACAAGTATGTTTTTCCTCATTCCCCTAGACCAAAACACCGGTTGAGTTTACCCTGTTCTTAAAAATAACTGAGAGAAGCTATTAAAAGGTTTGTCTGATGGAAAAAAATTGAGGGCTGTTATTTGGAAAGATGAAAAATAGGAGCTCTGGTTACAGGTCTAACGCTATATTCAAATTTGTTAAGCAATTTGTATAGAAATTGTTATTAACAGATGAGTGCCCATCAGATTCGTTGGCTTAACTGATTCATACCTTTCAGTGACTTCCATTAACTTACAGAAGTTTTTGTTTGTGTTTTCTGGTTATAAATATGATGATACGGTAAGGTAATGCGCAGTCTCAGTAACTGCTGAAATAGGAAATAATTTACTATCTAGAATAAAAAATAGAAAGAAATGTAATTATTTTGACAGTCTCCTTTGGTAGGTTGTGAAATTCTTTCTTTTAAAAGTAGTGGATTTGTTGACAGCTTGAATATAAGAATAATAGGTCAATGACCGACTATATGCCTTTTTTTTTTAAATTCACCTTCATGGGAAAGCAATGGAATTTAGTAAAAAAAAATTACGTGATTGCTATTTGTGGCACAGACTGGTTTGCTTCTTCCATTCTCTGATAGCTTATATGTACTAGTTAGCTTTTAATAATTGTTTTAGCAAGGACAGGGGAATGTCTTGCAGCATTATGAATCTGACTGAGAAAGAAAACTTTGAAAAATTGTGCAAGAGTACAAAGCAGTGAGTGAAAACATCCTGACTATGCTGAATATAGCCCAAAGCATTTGTTAGAAACCTTTTCCTAATGAGTTTTGAGGCTGTCTTTGGGAAAGAGCTGGAATTGTAGGAAAGAAAAGCCCCAGCAGCAACATATGGCATGAAGGGACCCCAAGGGACGTGCTGCCATGTGGCTGTTCCCAGGAGTGGGCAGCACGGCCTTCTCCTGCAGGCAGCGAAGAGCTCTCGCATCTGCAGCTGTGGTGGACGACGTGTTCATCTGTGCTCCTTCAACTGCTTCTTGGAGGCTTTACCAGCACGTTGTCCTGCCAGGGACATCCCGCATCTCCTGGGGCAGCCCCACTGGGTCCTGCAGGGAGCGGACATAATCGGATCTGTCTGGAGAGGGGCCTCATGGAGGAGGCCGAGGTGCTGCCGTGGGCCTGGCTTGTGTACGGCATGTGCGCAAAATACCGTGAGCGGCTGCAGGTGGGAGCTGTATTAATTTTCCCTGTGTCCTGACAGCGGAGCATAAACATTCCAGTGGCAAAGTCAAAACTGTGAGTTAATATTTCAAGGTAATGGTCAATGAAGCTTGGATAATCCAGTATGTAAGACTATGAAGAGAACCAACCTGGAAAGGGTCATACCGAGCATTAAGAAGGAGACCAATGGCTTGCCCAGTTTCTCCACGTGCTGAGGCAGTTGGTCAAGCGCTCACTTGCCAGCTTCTTCCCTTGTCTTTTTAGTGTCTTGGTGAAGCGGTGGGGGAAGTAGATTCAAGTTGGCGGTGAGAGAAGAGCAAAGTGAAAATTTTGCTCTCTTCAGCAACTTTTTTCTTCCAGATATTTCACTCTGTTTTCATTTGCAAAATCCTGATGGAATGATCTTGAAAGAATTATGCCTGTTGCTCTTGGCATTTAGCGATCTTACTGCACACAGTGTGAAGGACCTGCTGCTTGTCCCAAAAATTATAAAATTGAATGGAGATTGATCTTGGATGTGTTCCAGTGTCGTTCCCTAAACCTTACATTTTATGAGCTCTCCCCTTTTTCCTCTGATTTCCCTCCTACACACGCGCACACACACACACACGCTGCTTGTGGATGACCTTTGTAGGTCCCACACTCTTTTTTACATGCAGTGAACATACAACTTGATACAGACACGGAAAGATTAACGAGTTTCATAAAATACTGAAGAAGTATTTATTAAAACTGATTTATTAACAATTGGTCTGCCTCCTGACTTATCCAGAATGTTAGCATGTTATTCCTGTTTTAGGAGATTTTTGAGAAGTGTGGTCTCAAGTGTGGCTACATTGGGGATTCCTGTTTATTGTATGTTTCTAGAGTATACAAACACACGTGTGATAATTTATTAAAAAAAAAAAAAAAAGACTGCATAGAGGGTAATTGTGTCTTACCACAAAAGTTCCAGAACTACCAGACTTTCCTTTTAGCCAAATCCACCTCATGAGATGGGATAATTCTGTCTATAATTCCTTTCTTTCTGTCACGATCTTCTGGATTTTCGCAATTTTCTTTTTGAATGAAGTAACTGCTTTGACCTTCCTCTTAAGAAAATGGATATCATTTAATACCATTTATTCCTAACAGCTTTCATCTAGTTTAGTGATATAAATAAATTGCTCACTGATCCCCCCCTTTTTTTTTAAGCACAAATGCAACTTCTGTTGAGCAATTATAGAAGCTAAGGCTTCCTTTTTAATTTTTGACTCTAACATCTGTAATTCATGTGAGAAGAATTTTTTGTTTGTTTTTTAAATAAGTGAAAAATATGCCGAATAACCATTTTTTGTTGTCTGAAAAAACTGAGTGTGTCTCTTCTGTTGACTCCAGCATGCATCTTTTTCACAAGAAATGAAGCCATTAGCTCTGGTATTTTTTACTAAGTAGTTTCAAGAGACATTCCTCTGGTTTCCGATGTTCTGAAAATACTCTAGGCAAAACATCCAACTAAAGAAGGTTTAAGTATGTATTTAGTTACTCAGCAGAAATACTGAGCACACCTTCTCTCCTACAATATTACAGAATCAATATATTATGAGCTGTGTTTTGCACTTTAGTGTTCAGGTGTAGCTGCTTTAAGAACATATCTAAGCTGTGCCCATTTTCCAGGGTGTGTGGAGATTTATTTTCATGTGTTAAACTGACTGTTCTTTGCACATGGATATGTCCTTATTTACAGGATTAAATTCTGTATTTTCACCACATTTTTTTCTTTCAATTTAACCTGCTACAAACTGGATAATGTTAATGTTTGAGTTAATGCTAACCATGGTCTGAACCTTTTTTTTTCTTTTTTTTTTTAGTTTTAAGGTTTCTGCTGTATACAGTCAAAGTTGATTTGCCTTTTTTTTCTTTTTTTTTCTTTTCTACAAACAGAAAGATTATATTTTTGTGTCAAACTGAATAATCTTCACAGTATCAAATGCTACCTGAAAGGGCTTGGAACAAAAGAAGAGAAATACTGCTTAAGATTCTCAGAGAAGCTTTTGAAGAGGGAAGTTGGTCTGATAGTTGAAGTAAGAGACTGGAAAAGTTATATATTTGATCTTGCCAGTTACAGTGTTTACGAAGCCTGTCAAGTGCCTGCAAATCTCCGAGTGAGATTCTAGAAAACATCTCCATGATAAATTTACAGAATTAATAAACCAAACTAAGGACAATTTCAGATAGCGACTTTAAAGATGATAGAGGTTCCCTGTATGACGTAAACTGCTCTGAAGACCTGCTCACGTTGCAGGTTTTCAGCCTTGCGTGCAGCAGGTGACCCAGCACCTCTGCAGTTCTGCAAGTGGCTTCCTCCCTCGTCTTGCAAAAAGCTTCTTGGACGGGCTCTGCTTGCCGCCCTGTCCAGCCTGTGCTGCTGAGCGGCCCGTCCTCCTGCCCTCCTCTGGTTCCTCAGGCAGGAGGCTCTGGGCCCACCTGCAGCTCAGAATCCCCTTTAGCTCTTTGGGGATCTCACACCTGAGATAACGCAGCTGCAGGACTCCTGTAGGCCCTATGCACAGGTCACTGGGAATAGTCAACTGTAGCTAATTTACAATATTTACAATATTAAACATTCTTGTTCTTTCATATTCTCTTTTACTTTTTGGGGGGATATTTAATGCAAACTTTTTCATTATTTTACTAGCACATACTTAATGTAGTGAATATGGGAAGAGGTTTTTTTGTTTATTTTTCTTCTTAGTACTGACCATCACCATTAAATATTGCTTAACTTCCATGATGAGGCATATAATTTACAGGCGTAAAGTTGTTTGATATCCAGGGACAGAATGGTAAAGTATTACCATCTTTCTTTCCATTTATGTTTTCCGAATCAGATTTTTCTTGTCCCCCAAACCAAGTAGCCTGACATCCTGTACACTGGAATAAAGTAATTATTGTCCTTGCTAGAGACTGTACTAAACCACAGGTTTTAAAACCAGTGACATATTGCCAGTTCCGTAGTAAGGCACCTCATCTTGTATTGGGACAAAGGTGATCTATTACATCACTGTCCAAATTCAACATTTGCGTTCAAAATAAATGAAGCAGATGGTTTTATTTTTTGAAAATTAAAAAGATCACTTTATTTTGTGAAATTATATGAGGCAACCAACAGGCAACACTAAATCATGTTTTCCACCCTCTTCCCTTGCCTATCCCCCTTCCCTGGCCACAGGAAAAATATAAATCAGCACCAAAACCATTTCTCAGAGAAATGGAAAGCATGAGGTATTAACATACAAACATTTATCTTTGGATCCCATTTGTAAATTGCAGTTAATTTTTTAAGTTGTAGGGTGTATCCACCCCAGCATGTTACATATCACTGATGTCTAAATTTGTTCATTACAAGTGTGTTTGTAACTATATTTGTGATATCTGCTTAACAAAAAAGCTATTTTTGAGCATAAACACAAAGGTGGTAAGCATGATGGTTATTTATTGTTTGGGCTCTTTAACCTCTCAGAACTGTCTCTACTCTGCATAAGCTTTTTTGCCTTTTTCCCCTTTTGCTCAAAGTGCATTTGACACACAAACAAAAGTGACTTTTGTCTTGTAATGAAAGCGTGCCAAGCTGTTTGACATAATGACAGGTGGGATATTATTTAGTGCTGCTGAAGTTTGGGCTGTATAGTTGCTTTGTTCCTCCTAGATTGTGTTTTGACTTGCATGTTTCTGGCTGCCATTGTAGCATTAACCTTCTTTATTGGACTTGGAACATGCCTGCGAGAATCAGCCTTATAAATGGCAGCAAGGCTTTTTCCTACATTGTTCAGATGTTTCTGAAATCAGTTGTACAATGGGAGTTTAAAAGCTTTTCTTTTGCATGTTTTTTTCCAAAGTAATTTAACCATTATCCTTAGGTATGTATGCTTTGTTTTTCCCTTCGCACCTAGCTTGGCATATACAGTCATAAATAAAATGTTTAAATTCTGTTTTGCTAAGAAGTTTTGTTTAAAACAGTACTTTAAAAACTGCTCTCTGACGGTGGTGAGGGAAGATAAGCTTATACAACTTCTGTTTATTAAGGGTTTAGAGATTTCTTTGCTTTGTAGTAGTGAGGGAGTTTTCTTGGTGCACATCTCTTCTGTTTGTGCAGGAGTATCTCAGCAAGACGCAAGCTCTGATGTCACACTCGTAACAGTATAAATAGAGAAGAATGATTGGCCACCAGGAGATTAAGCAAATGCCATCTTTATTTTTATGCAGTCCACGTCTCTTTAGGCTGTTGATGCCATGCAGGGTTCTTGGTTGCTCATGAAGGTTGAAAAGGTACGTCAAGTGCAAGACCTCCGCTTGGCACAGACAGGAGAGCCGAGCATAAGGAACTATGTTAGTTTTCTCTGAGGACTGAGGCCACCCTGGACTCTCCTGCAGCCAGAAATCATGCTCGGGGTGTCCGTGTGGGCCCAGCAGCCAGGTGCACGCATGCTGCAGCCCCTGCGCGCCACAGCCCTGCAGCAGGCCTGGCTGCAAGCACTGCAGGAGATTTTGTGAACCTCCCTTTCATCTCAGGGAAAATCAGCACGTGCATATGGGCTCTTGTGCTCTTGTGCTCCTTGTTTTAGTGTTGGATCTCAAACAGTTTTTTTTTTTAATAGCCTCAAATTTTCAGGCAGGTAAAATACATGGCAGAAAGTGAAATATTATTTTGATTATTCCGTATTCTACTATTTTGGTATTTTGGAATCTGCAGGATAATTGGGAGCAGAGAGTGATAAAAAAATAAGAGACCATTTCTGTGTTAAAATGGACATATCGTGAAACGTTAGTTCAGTGATGTCAGTGAGATGGTAGCAATTAACCAGGAGGGACAGGATGGCTTGTGTTCAGGTTAAGTATGTTGTAATGTTATAACCTAAGTGCTAGATGTATTAAAAAAAAAGGACTGCTGGATGACTGCTGAGATGCTGCTGGATTTGGTAATGATGAGGAGCAATCTGAGATACCGTGTGATTATTGAGCTCC